GCCTTCACCAAGCTCAGGAAGGGAATGGGTCCCTTGGTTGATTAAAGTACCTATAAGGGCAAAATAGCAGGACAAGAAGCTGCTGTAGGTTTATTCTGGAGTAGGCACAGCTGTTTGAAGCAGCTGGCTGAGAGCAGTGTGAAAGGGCCGGTGCTATAGGCAAGCACAGCTCTTTTAACTGGCTTAATTAAAGGGGAGAATGCCAGCCAGCACTGCTTTAGCTGTTACCTTGCAAAGAGAAGCAAGAGCTGAGCTTTAGCAATACTGACATGCTAATCTCGGCCATCAGGATGGGATCAAGCCACTTACCAAGGCAGCAGCTGGGCTGCCTGTGCTAGGGCTCCAGCGTGGGGTGCGTGAACAGATTGCCATCCTTTGCTCGTTTCTGAGCGGAAGTTTTTGAAAAGTGGTGCAGGGATCAACTATTTTTCAAAACAAATCTCTTGGCTAAGCTCACTGTGAAAAAGGCATTTATGCTCATCAATTTTATTTGCATAATTTCAAGCGCCATTAATAGTACATGGCATGAGGAAAAATCACGGAAATTTCACTCCAACCATGAGTGAAATTGGGTTTAGTAGAAAATTAGTTGACTTAACTGGCAAATGATGAAAGCTCGAATAAAGAATGTTTAAATAAGGAGGAATGAAAAAAACTCTGCCACCTAGAAGGTACAGACAGGATTTGCATGATTGGAATATTAAAATGAGTAGTTATAAAGTGTTTAGGAAGGATACGGGGGTAAATGCAGAGATGCTCTGCTTCAAAGGCTCCAGTGTTGCTTTTAGATTTATTCCTGACTTGCAACCTGGGTGCTGGGAGCGTGAATTAATCTGGCAAGTAACAAATGCCAGCAGAGCGGACGTGTGGCAGAGCATGGCGACGTACCGGAAAAAGGGTTAGTCAGTCTTGTTATACATAACCCCTGGAAAGTTTTTGCAGGCTTCGGTATGAGATACGCTAATCTCCCCCAGCACCTTTTCAAGCCTAGTTAGGGCTTTTAAAAATTATGGATGATTTTTCTAACACAGAGGGTGCTTGCCTCTTAGGATGTGTGTCCTGGGCTGAATGGATGTGGGCAAGGTTACCTGGGGTCTAGGCGCACAGGACAACCCCGGGGTTATTGCAGGACCGTGCGGAAGCCTGGCTTGCAGGCAGCAGTTCTGCTGCTGGAGCAGAGTGCAAAGTGCTGTATGTCCCCTGTGGTCAGGGAAACAGGGAAATACACACTCATCCTCCAGCAACAACGCTGCCGTAGTTGTTGGGTATGCATTCTTGATTACTGAGTACAGCATGTCCACCGAGAAAAAACAGCAAGTATGTGAAGAAATGTGACAGTAGTTATTATCTCTATAAAATCCTCGGGATTTTAACTGGCTTAAAATTTCCTTTTTGCCCTCCTGCCCCAGTTTGCTGGCTTTTCCCCTGTGCAGAGGGTGACCTCTCTGTGCAATGCTCAAACCTTGCTCCAGCCAATTTGTAATCCAACACCCAGAGCCACATCTCTGGGGGGCCAACAATGCCCAGAGCCCCCACCTGCACCACAGCTCAGAGCAGGGATTCCCCAGCCCCTGGCTTATTTTTCGATATCCTGCATTGCTATAAAATGGTACTACCACTATTTGAAGTAGCACCTTCTTTCTGGAAGGGGGAGTTTATGGATGATGTCAGGGGCTGCTTCCTGCTTTTTGCCTTTAGATGAGGTCAAGCCCCCATTGTATCTATGCAACCAAGAGGCCACCCCTGCTGCCAAGGACTCTGCGTTAATCAGGCACGACCAAGGTGGAATGGCAAAGTGATTTACCTGGTCATGCAACTAGGGCATGGCAGAGCTGAGCTTTGAGCCTGTATCTCCTGAGACTGCGTCCTACCTGCTGGCACATCAACGGCATGAAGGGGAGCTTCTGAGGCCGCCTCTAAGCCACCAGGCAATGTCTCCTCCTTGGTGCTGTTGAATATAACCCTTTAGAGCAACCACTTTGGCTTCCCAAGGAGGGTTGAGATAACTTCTTCCTCTGTCTTACTGCGGTGGCTCTTGGAGGCGAGAGCTGTTCTATTCCTGTCATGTTCCCAATCAACCAGTTTGTGTAAAATTACCCATTAAAGTGATAAAACTGCAGCCGGTTTCGCCTGCGGCTGACCCAGCCTGGTCTGCCCTGTGCTGATGCTCATATTCTTTTTGACAAGAGCAGTGAAGCGGCTGCAAATGCTGCTCTTTGCCTTAAATTGAAAATCTGTGTTTTTCCTGGGATTGGTGAGTGATGTGGTTCCACGTTTACTCTCTCTCAGTTGTTTGGCATAGTCATATCCATAACTTCAGGATGGCCCTTCAGTGGTTTGCTTGGCCCTCAGGTTGGGATGGGGCTGGAAGAAGAAGGATCCTTCTGTGAAGGATCTTCCACCTGAGCCGGATTGTTGCTCAGGTGGAAGAGCTGTTGATGTGCTCTCTGAACAGCCATGGGATCGATAGATGAAATGCCGTACTTGATCATCGGTTTGGGCAAGGGATGAGGACCTTTTGGAAGTGCTCCTCAGAGAAAGTACCTGTGGACTGTGTGACCACAGACCCACTCTAGTTTTACTGAATTACACGATAAAACCCCAGTAGGGCTGTAAAGAGGAGTCCCAATTTCAGAGAGGCAAACATAGAGGAATTAAGAGAACCAGTAAGAGAAGTTGCATAGTGCGAGGGCTTCAAGAACCTGGAAACTTGAAAACTAACTGGATCTTGTATTCCTAAGAAAAGGAAAAGTACTTACAGGGATGTGTGGGATAAATTCCCATCTCCAAATAGATGCTAGGAATAAGTGAAGAGCCCAGAAGAAAACGAAAGAAGACTGACATGTAAGAAAAGCTACATCATAGCAGGCAGGAGCTGAGGGAGAAATTTCTCTGGCTGAGCTCAGACTTGCAAAATAAAAGATATATTCTTCAGCCCTGTTAGAGGAAAAGAGCTATGAAAAAAATGGTACTCTTATACAGTGAGAGTGGGGCAAAGCTCAGATGGACCAAATGAATGCAACGTTTTGGTTTTCTATGAGGATGTTGCTGCTAGTTTTTGAGGGAGAGCAGGGTAGTAAAATGAGAGTGAGCTGAAGGAATTACGGTGTCCAAGAGAAAAAATTACACAAACACTGATACTGAGGGATGGACCATTTGTATTCCTGAGCGAACTCACACTCAGAAATCACAGTTACATGTAACAAGGATTTTTAAGACACCTGCTTAAGTTGGAAGGTGTCATGAATTTTCTGAGAAAGAGGAAGCATGGTCCAGACAAGCAGATGGGCTGTCAGGCTAACATCAGTGATACACTTAATGGAAGAGCTTTGGAAAGGCAGATTCATCAGTTCACAGAAGTAATGGAAAACGGAATGAGACATGCCACAGGTTTACCAGTCTTGTATCATGCCAGATTAATCATATATTGCATTGGCAGCAGGGTAACTGATGATCTCGATAAAGAGATTGCAGTCAATCTAGTTTATCTGGATTTCCATAAAGCATTTTATACACTGCTGAAGGGAGGAGGGCTCGAGTACATCTGTTGTAAGGAACTGGCTGAAAACCAGTGCAATGATACTGAGAGAAACTCGGTGTCAGACTGCCTCGAGGTTCGGGTCTGGCTCCAGCCTTATTGAGCAGTCTTCTATATGGCACAAAAAGTTGGAAACGTGAATGAAATTTGCACAACATCCAAATATGCAGTATCCCCAACGTGGAGGAGGATCTGAGGGTCCTCTAGGAAGCCAGCAGTATCTGCGAGGATGGGAGTAACAGAAATGGTGTAGCACATGGGCAGCAGAAGGGATTTAGGGACTGGTGACGGGAAGATCGGTGGTAAAGTGGGGAGCCCTGTCCACAGAGGAGGGGAAGGACGTGGTTGTGTTGTGGGATAACTAAGAGTCACCGATGTGATTGTAAAGAAAGTAAATGAAATCTGGCGTCTTTCACGTGAGAGATCCTGTTGCGCAAGGGGAGCGTGCGTGTCGAATGAGGTGCTGGCGAGCCCTTACTGGAAATGCTCTGCAAAAACCTCATCCTCTGTGTGTGAGAAGGGTGAACTCAGCTGGAGCAGGTGCAAAGATGGAGAGGGACCTGAACTTCCCCAGACCTCGTGTTTTGGACCCTGCGATTAACAGCTGAGGAGGGGGGACAATTCCTTTGCCTTTTGTCTTGCTCCATGCAGAGAAAGCAGATCAGCATCAGAGCTGTTCAAGTTGACGCTCAGTGTTGGCACGAGCTAAAAATGGGTTGTTTGGTCATGGATGTGCCTGGTCGTTCCCCGTCAAGGCTCGTATTGGTGGGGGCGCACAGCAGAAGGACTGCCTGGGCGTCAGCGTCCCCTGTGCCCTATGGGGCATGAGGCAAATACTGGGGCCACGCGGGAGGCACATTGCCTTGCTCAGCGATGGTGGGCAAAAAGCCTCCAGCAGGTCTCAGCTCTTTTTTGGCAGTGTTTTACTGCTCTGCTTGGGGGCAGTGATACCTTTGCAGGCAAGATGGATGTAAAGTATCTGCTGTTCTCCTGCCACAGAGGGGCTAACCTCTTGGCGAGGTGCAGCTGTTTGTGGGCAGGGATATGAACCAGTGATACTGGGGAGCTGAACCAGCTGAAAAATAACACAGAGGATGAAACCAAGGCGTGCTTTGTGGGGGTTGTTCCAGCACGGCTGCACGAGCAGGCTGGCAAGCAGCTCCCTGGTGCGGTGGAGAGGAGAAGCTGCAGCTCTGTCGTCAGCTATCTTTGTCCCCGAAGATGATGTAGTGTGAGAGTCCAGCCTCGTCTGTGTTGCGTTGGAGAACTTTGCCAAGGAAGGGTGAGGGGAGCGAGGCTCTCCTGGTGTTCCCGGGGAACATGGGCATCGTGGAGTTCAAGGCAGCTATAAGGGAGCGGGTTGATGATTTCCCAGCAGGGAAATGAGTGTCTGTGTTGCTGAGCTGGTGATGGGGCTTTTGCGGTGTTTGGGAGCTGATCAGTCGTTCCTGGTTCTCCCCAGTAATTTAGGGGTGCCTCCGGGACGGGGGAACTGTCCCTTGACGATTCCTTTGCCTTTCGACCTGATTTACACCGACTACCATGGTCTCCAACAGATGAAGCAGCACATGGGGCTCTCCTTTAAGAAATACAGGTAAGCAAAGCCACCCCTTTTCTTTCCTTGTGGTTTCTTTATTAGCAAGCCAAGATGACTGCTTGAAGGACAAAGGGTGACCAGAGATGCTGCAAAATCCATCAGCAACAGGCTGTATAACCTGCAAACTCCCCGCTGTCCTTGCTGGCTGCTCCCCCACAGCTGCAGGTCTCCAACATGGGTCGAGCTCAGCTGAAGCTCCTGGTCCTGGTAATGGGCTGCCTCTGTGCTGTGGCCCTGCTGCGGCACGAGGAGGTCGCTGCCTCAAAAAATTCATTAGAAGACTCTACGTTGGAACCCCCCCGGCATGTGTCTGCAGGTCCACGTGTGCTCCCAAATAACATTCTCAGTCTGCAGGTGCACGGTGGCACACTGCAGATGGAAGCAAGATCCTTTTGTGTTTTCAAGAAGCAGAGCCCTGTCCCTGGCTCCTTCAGCATCAAGACAAATGTCATCATCCCCGGTATATCAGCAGCCAGGAAAATATGCGATTTAATTTAGCACTGATAGTCCTGCTATTTATTATGTTTTCTCCCATCTCTTCTACTATCCTACACAGTTTTATTAGAGAGAAAAATGACAAGCAGTGTTATTGCTTTTATTATAAATGCATTTGCTCTCACATTCGACTTGTTTTTCTCCTTTCTGGCTTGATGTTCGCCTTCTCTCCTCAGTCTGGTGCTGGTAATGCCTGCCTCAGCATTCTTGAGATATTGGGGAAAGCATTAGCAAGTCTTCAGGAGATGCATCACTTTCAAAAACATCGGGGAGATGAAAGTCCTACAACGGGAAATTGTCCAAGAGGGGAGGGAGCAGCGAGCTGGGCAGGGTGGTTTAGGCCCTGCTCAGTCGGGAGAAAAGGCTGAGGCACAAAACCAGTTCTGCTGGCATCAGAGCGAGTCTCCTGAAGGGCAAAGTCTGCGCTGGAGTATTGGGGATTTCTCCAAGTCGGGTCCCCTCCAGCCTCGCGCAGCGTGCTGAGCTCTGTGTTGCTGGGAGAGCGGCCACACCTGGAAGGGACGCGTGGGTTCAGGATGTAACCCTGCTCCTGTCTCCTCTCCCAGCTGCCGCGTTCGGGTCATCGACACCTTTGGCACGGAGCCGGCCTACAACCACGAGGAGTACGCTACACTGCGCGGCTACCGCACCAACTGGGGCTACTGGAACCTGCAGCCCACCCAGTTCATGACCATGTTCCGTAAGCTGGGGACGGGGACGCTTCTGTGCCGAAGCCGTTGCGGGGGCTCGCAGGTGGCTGGGCAAGACCGCAGTGCTGAGAAGCAGGTCTTAATTCCTAGAGGAGGCGATGCGTGGGTGGTGCCGCCCTGTTGAGGTCTGCTCCTGCTTGCCTCCCACCTGCCCTATCCAAGGGCCAGTTGCATGGCAAAACTCCCAAAAACTCCTCCTGGAGCTGAGGGATGAGCTGTGATTTCTCGACCTGGGGAGGTGATCCCTGGAGCAGCCGAGCGTGTCGGTCCTCTGCTCTGCGGGCAAAGGGTGAGCGGGAGGAAGCACCGTCCTGTGGCCGGCAGCTCCCTTTCATGGCTCTGGGTGCTAAGAAAGTGCTGAGAAAGGGGTCGGGTGCTGCCACTACAGCTGGAAATGGGCTCTTTGGCTGGCCTTTGGGTGCAGACGGAGCTCATGAGTGCCCAAAAGCTTCTCCAGGCTGTTTTTGTTTGCAAAGCATGCTTTTATTTCAGCTGGGTCCCACTTCTCTGGCAAAAGGGCAGCTTGGATTTTGGAGGCAAAAGGCAACTCAGTAGTTCAGATTTATCTGATAAGCTGCAGAGTGGAAAGGAGACTTGCTGGGCTGAAACAAGCCTGCTGACCCTTTGGACACTTAGTGACTCAAAGGCTGGTTATGACCTATCTGGTAGTCTTAAAAGTGCCTTTTTATTTTAAAGAGTCCCTCAAGCAGGTCACAAAGCTATATTGTATTAGCTACTGTTGATGGGGTTTCTTGCTGGTTTTCTTAATATGCTCCAGGACTGCTTTGGAGCCTGGTTTGCTTCAGCCCGAGTGCTGCAGTGAGCGTCTGACGGGCTGCTGCATCCGTGAGGGACCAGCTCTCGGTCTTCCTCCGCATGCCCCACATGGCATTGCCTCCCGGCAGGAAAACGAGGGGAGAGGAGAAGAAAAACTGCAATCTGGGGATAGAGAAATAGCCAGATTTGCAGGCAGAGGTGAAAACCTCCCTTGAACAACCCTTTCTGAAGCTGTGTTGGTTGCTAGTTCGATTTTACCACTTTTTAGGACTTTTCCCAGGTCTGCATGGAGATGGGGTATGACCTTTTCCAGGTTCAGCTGCCCCAGGTGGGGACACTAAGCGATGCCAGGCCTCAGCTCAGCCAGGCGGTTGTCTAGGACAAGCAGCTCCATGCGCCGTACCTGTAGCAGGTCGGGATCCTGGGAAAACCTCCGCGGTTCCCGTGCCGGATCCAAACACGCGTCTTTCCCGCTTGGTGTTGCAGCTCACACCCCCGACAACTCCTTCATGGGCTTCGTGTCTGAGCAGCTCAACAGGACCGAGAGGCAATTCATCAAGTCCAACAAAGTGAGCAACATGGCCGTGGTGTATGGGAAGGAAGCCAGCATCTGGAAGGTGAGCATCCTCGCCAGGGCAGCAGGTGCCCCGGGCTGCCAAAGAAGCAGGGCAAAATCTGAGGCAGGATCTGGACTCAGGCTCTTGAGACTCAGTGCCACGCTCTTCTAGAGGTGATGCTTCCTCCCAATAGGCTGGTTATGCTAATGATACCATATTAACAGTATTAGGTATGAATTACAGAGACTGCTATGAGGTGATTTCCTGCATTATGTTCCTGATGATTTGTTTCCGCTTTTGAGCGTCCTGTGAGACGGTGCTTGCATTGCCTGTCTCTTGCTCTGTCCTTGGTGGTGGCTGATGCTGGTCCTTGCTAGGACCTTGGTGTAACCTGGGTTGGAGCTTTATTCTGCTAATTCACATGGAAAGAGCTGCTGGGAGAATTAGGAAAGAGGATGAGATCAGCGCTGACAAAGCAGAGTTTCACCCTCGCTCAGCCAGGTGCAAGCAACGTGGGGCTCATCCTGGCTGAGGCTGCGTTTGAGCCAGTGGACAAGGAGTAAAAGTCTTTGCTTTGTTCCTCCAGCCCCAAAAGTGCTCTGCCACTGAGTAAAAGACCAGCAGTACCATCAACACCCTCCCTGAGACAGCCACTGCACTGTAGCAAGCCCAGGAAGCACGTGGGGGCAATGGCTCTTACCTGGCACGAGCCCGGTGCTTTTCTTTCCTGGGTTTAAAAAAAAGGAGCAAATTCTCACTGTCTCTTGATTTATTTATTTATTTATTTCCTCTCCCCTTTATGCACCACCCCTGGGATGTTCCAGCTGCAGGTACCGTATTGCTTGAGCTGCTCTACACAAAGCTGCCGTTGTGGTTTAACTCTGCATGTCGTCTTGTGATAGAAAATGTTTTTCAGCAGTTGAATTTGCCTCTTTGTGGGCTCGACCCTCTCAAGCTGCTGAGATTGATGCAGCTGGAGGTTTTATCCCCTCCCCATGCCCGTCTTCCCTGACTATCACCTCTGCCGGCTTTGCCCTAGCTGTGATGCCTAATGCCGGCTGGGATCCTGCTGGGATTTTGGGAGCGCGACACGGCTTACCATGGTGCGTGCAACAACTGAGCTTGTTTGAATAAGAGACGCGGTCACGGCATCAAAGCAAGCTGAAGCCACAGCGTCTTATTGCCTTAGTGCTGAGTAAATACAACTCTCGGGTCTTGCGGCCAACCAAAGAAAACAGGGGGGCTATTGCTGTGAGTCGAATATGGAAGGATATTTTTCTGATTTCTTTTTTTTAGCTGAAAGGAAACCCACTGAATTGCATTTTAGGGGAACTGTAACATTTTGTTCTGCTTTTCCTGCCCCTCTTGTTGTTCAGAAGTTTCATCTAAGCTTATTTAGGTCAGTTTGGGAAGGAATTAAAAAGAGCTAAAATATTGAAGTGAACCATGTGTCTCTGCTTGGACGGTTTCCCTACCCCTCTTTAGCGCTACAGACATTTGGTCCTTTCAGCCTGAATTTATGACCAATTTCACTCTCCCCAAAACGGCGTTATTTTGGTTAATTTGTCATTCGGTGAAAAAGCTGGGGCTGGTTCTGTGGGCTAACCGCGGGCAGGGCCTTCCAGAGAAGCAGGTCTCGGCGGAGACTGGGGCTCTGGTTTAAAACCTTCACAAATGTCTAACGCCGCGGGGGAGCAGCTCGCCTTGCCCCATATCCCCTGTAATAAAACAGGGGGAAGAATACCTTCTCCTTATAATGTGCTTTTGAGGTCTAGGAAGGAAAGGGCAGCTAAGGCTTCTTAGGAACATTTATATTTTAGAGAGCCAAGTGGTGATTTACAAGCTTTTTGGATCAAGTGCACTCTCTAAAACAGAATCTTTCTGACGTTTCAAAACGTTTGATTAACGTTCCTGTTATTTTTCATTTCCTGCCCCTATGAACCTCCCGCTCCCAACAGGAGCAGAAGTTTTAATAAGCCAGAAAGGCCGCTTTCCTCGGCTGCGGAGGTGTTTGCTCGGGACGGGGCTGGAGCAGCCGGGCGCTCCAGCGTACCGGGGGCTGCTTGCTCTCGCCCTGCCGGGAAGGATGCAAACGCGTCCGGTCGCGGGAGGTATTTCCCCCTGCAGCCTCGTCCCACCAGGAAGGAGAGATGCTTGGCAGCTTCCCTCTGTACGCAGCGCTTGCTGTTAGCCCTAGAGAAGTCCAGAGATGCATGACCGAGTGCAGAAATACGATGTTCAGACAGGCTTTAAGGCAATGCGTAGGGTTTTCTCAAATTCCTCCTTTATACTGCCTTATTCCCTCCCAATCTCTGCTCTTTTGGGGGCCTGTTGCAGCACTGGAATAGGTTGAAAATATGGCAGCTGAAATATGGTCCCCGTGCGTCTTTCTAAGTAGAACTTCCTGCAATGTGGAAATTGTTAAAATGCAAGGCCGCTTCGGCGTGCAAAAGCGAGAAAGCCTCCAAAAGAAGAAAAGTGATGCCCCCTGGTTTTCCTGAGAGCAAAACAGGAAAATTCAGAGTGAGAAAATCCTGGAGATTGTTATTTATAATAACAGGCTGTTTACAAGCTTTGGCCTCTCTGAACGTCCTGCTGA